AGAGTCTACCAGGACAGACCGGATAATATTGAGAATTTAAAGAACAAGATTAGGGCGGAGATGCATAATTTACCAGCTGAAGTCATTCAGAATGCTGTGGACAGCTTTTACTATCGTCTTGGAGAATGCCAAATAGTGAATGGAGGACATTTTCAGCATTTGCGACATTGAGTTTATTTTTGTAAATTATCTAGTCGTTTCAATTTCTAGATGAAAAAAAACTTGTTATTGAAAAAATAAAACTTGTTTATTTGGTATGGCTGGATTCGGTTTTCTATAAGCTTTTCAACGAGCCCCCTCATGCCCTATGTTTCCATTTGAAAAAAAGGTAGGGGTAGCTGGGGGTTAGGGGGTTGAAGAAAAATTTATTATTATATAACCGAAAGATGTGAAAAAATCAAAATCAGTTAACGTGTTTCGGCGTTTTAAAAAAAATTAACTCCTACAAAAGATATATGAATTTTATTCCGTATGTGTGGCCATCCCTGTATATATATATATTTTGAACACTGATTACAGTGTGAGGCCATTTTTACTTGAATATTTAACAAATAAAAAAAGCGGCGATGATAACCTTAAAGGAAAAGATGATACCACAAACGAAAATGTAAAAACAAACGTATCGGAAAATGCAGTAAAAGCAATGTTGGAGCGTACTAAATCTGCTAATACTTCCGACGTCTACAAAAAATCTGAAATAAATCCTGTAAATAATAAATTTTTAAAACCAGCCATTAAACGAATTAAAAGGAAAACAGGTAAAATTACTTATTTTTTTTTTTAAATAGGTAATTTAAATTAAATCTTAATACATAACAATGTAGGTATATTTTAAATATTAGGAACTGAATTTATTATAGGTGATCAAGAATCTGCAAAAAGTTTGCTTGACATTGCTGCAAATTATGTTATAAAAAATGAAAAAAAGTTAAAATATATATATAAATCAAAGCTTATTCAGGCATGGAAAATGATAAACTCAAACTATTGTTCAGGAGATACCTTAAAACAATGTTATAATACTCTGGAACACATAAACAAGAAAACGAAATTATTGCGTTCCATTGAAAATGATAATGTAGTTTCAGTAGAAGAATATGAAAATAGTGACATCTTATTAAAAGAATGTAATATGCTTTCCACAATAAATTCAAATCCTTTTCAATTAAACGAATTTTTAGTTGAAAAATTAAAGTCAATAATTAATAGTTAAATTTGATTTTTGTATATAAATAATAATATGTATAACTCTTCCAGTTCAAGTTTATGAATAAAGTAGTTTGAATTACGCGGATTTAGTTTTATTATCTTGGCATTCTGATATCTTTATATTGATTCTGTTTATTGGCGAATGTGTAATCTGGATTCCAGCACGGACCAATCAGCTGTAGTCACTAGTCTGTATTAGTTTTAGTATTCGAAAAGATGGCTTCGTTGCCGTCTCCGACACAGGTAGGCGAATATTTTTATGCATTGTAGGCTAGTAATTATTTATAAATAGTGAATTTTATGATGTGCTCAGAATTTAAATATCTGAAATTACAGTGGTTTATCAATTTTGCGGGATATCTCTTAAAATTTTGATTTTTTAGATATTAGCTTTTGATTTAGTGGGTGGTATTGACAATTAAAATATTCATCATTAATGAGATTTCATATTTGTCATAATAGGGAAAAGTATTCTTACTTTAATTATTTATTTTATGTACATTTTTTGTCATAAGTCACACCCTACACATTTAACATTAAATACTAAATAGCACAAGCAATTCAGCAACCGTTTACTTAAAAAATAGCAATAAGCATGTAATAAATAAGGACCTAATGGAAATTATTTGTAGGTAGCTGGAAATTCAAGTGCTATATATGAAGCATATTACAATGTGGTAAGTATATACTGATATAAGTTTGACTACAAATAATAGGCAATACCCACCTACTTTTATATTATTTATTAATGAACTATGGAGTACTATGTTTTTCACCGAGTTTTTACCACCTAGATTAACAAGACTATCATACTTTAAGCATGTTACTTCATTAGTGACAGATGTATTACTCGGCAAAGAAATAAATTGATACAAATTTATGTACTACAAATTCAATGAAATTAAATAGATAGATAGATAGGTGTGTATCCTTCTGTATCTAAAGTACATACTGCATATTTAGTTATAAACAAAATCGCAGTGTATAACATTTAGTTAGTATTTTCAATTCGTGTTGGAAATATATATTTTAAATGGAGTTGCTCATCACAAACTTAGTGTTTTGCTGCACCCTCCTGATATTTTTCTTATAAGACCCAAAGTTTTAAAGCAAAAGCTAACAGTAATGTTGCATGTTTAGAAGATTGTAAGATAGTAATTGATACACAAAGATGCGACTTGTGGGAATATTAATTCAGTTCAATTAATTCAACCAAATAAAAATATTAAAATATTTTCAATAGGAATTTATTTCTCTCTTGTTTAATTTGTTACTTATTTTACCACAAACCATAATTTATAACAAGTATATTATAGTTGCCTCATGCGTCATATCCATATTCTAGTACTTCAAATAAAATTTATTCAGAATAATTTTATGGAATACACATTATGTTTAATATATCTCTGTTAAAACAATGCAAAAGAGGGATTTCAGTTCTGTTATGGAATGTGAAATTAGGTAGGCCTTGGGAGGGTCCAAAAGTACAGTGTATTGGAACAAAACTTTATCTCCTGAGAAACAAAAAATACGAAATTTAGATCCAGTTTTACTACTTCTGCAACAAAGACATACCCAATAGGTGGAAGGTACACAACTTCTTGATCATTTAACATAACACATAGATCTAATAAAGTATACTATTGATGGAATGTAGAGAGAGGGCAGAGGACCACATGTAAAATGGGATGAAACTAGTCTAGGGTCAGGTGACTTAGGGCATTTTCAGACTTATCACAAGTGATTTGTTATATCCATTATGTGGTATTAAGTGTTGTTATGAATTTTACACATAAATTTGACAAATTTTTATTGTCGTTACTGTAAAAAAAAAAAATTAATTTCCTAATCAGAAATAGAGTTGCTTTTTTGTCCTAGGTCATGCGACTTGGTCAAATCGCTGCCGCTTGCATGTTTGCATGTTGGAACAGCTAAAATGCGCAAAAAGTGGGCTTTGACTCTATCCATATACTATTAAATCTATGTAATAACATAATTAACAATAATCAAATTAAGCTAATAATGGCTGTGTCTTTTGTTATTTTAAGGCCCGGTACTCTAAGTCTCGGTTAAGGTTTGATTATCTAATCAGGCGATTAGACAGTGATTATACTTTATAAAATAAATCAGTATATGTTTTATCAGTTTTAATTAATGATGAATAATCATTGACATTAATAATTTGATCATAATAGCCTGATTATATGCCAGGAGCTGTGAATGGTTTTAACACAAAGTAATTTGTTAGTTGTTAATGCAGAACTGGAAATCTATTCACTCATTTTGTTGCCTCACGGATGGGCAAGACGTGTTCTCATTTGCATGTTTATTTTTCTAATTAAGTAATTTGACCCCTTAAAAAAATTACAATATTTATTGCCCTTATTAAATAACTCAAAATACTACTAATAATATCATTCACAGACTATTGTGACATTGAATTAAATGGCTCATAGGAATATACAAGGTGGGCCACCAAGAATGCCTCGGTCGCTAGGAACCAAACGGCAAATGTTACAGAAACCTGTTTAGGTGGGTATGTGTAGGTTGATTACAGCTGTATTTTAAAAATATTTTGAAATATATAGGGTGTCCAGGAAAAGCGTACCATATCAAAGTTATGTATTTTTAAATGGAACACCCTGTATTTTACTGCATTTTTGAGAGCACCGTAAAAAAATAGGTGAACTTTATTAAAGGTTCTACATACCTACGACATACAGTTTGTGAGATATTTCAATTTTAGTGAAAATGCAGGCATAGCGTAGAAATTTAATATTAGCAATAAAAAATAATTTTAAGGAAGCAGCTTTGGAGGGTCTATTTTAGTTCCTTGGAGTTATAAATTGTTATATTTGTTGTCACTTAGTATTTATACAGGGTGTTAAAAAAACTGCTGAATTCTTATCTCATCTTTAAACAGCAATAACTTGGTTATTTTAAATGGGACACACAGTATATTTTTACTTTGGGAGTTAGGAAATTTAAAACTCTTTCAAACTGTATAACTATCTCTAACGGCATTGGAGATATTTGTGCCGTTTCGTTTTTATCGATTTTTTTAGTAAGATATATCCACGTGTCTTTATCGATGTCTTTATTGAATTGGTTTGGGTTCTTCTTGATGACGTTTCTTTAAATATATTAAGAAAATGAGGATACTATTAGATGGCGCACCTTCAAAATTTTCATATTCAGTGAGAAATTATTTAAATCGAAAATTTAGTAATAAATGGATAAGTAGGAATGGTGCATGTCAGTGGCCACGTAGGTGTCCAGACCTCACCGTAATGGACTTCTTTGTTGCGAACTATATAAAAAATCTGGTACACAATGTTCCACCTACTACTTGCGATGATATTGAAGGGAAGGATTAGAGATGCATTTGCGTGAGAATATAATTTGAAGATAGAATAAGATGTGTATTCAAGAGAATGGTTATCAATTCGAACGTCAATTAAAATTTTTCTTTGTTTTAAAAGTAATGGGTCTAGCAGGATAAGATAAGGTCAGCGGCCCCAGAAAGGTATTTTGAAAATGACTTGTGTGGTAACATTGGCGAGATATAAATCTACCATTGACACAAATTCAGCCTCGCATCTCGCTGCGTTCTGGAGATAATTGATCAAATAGAAGCTAGAGCTATTTATCAAAATTGTTTTTTTCAAAAACTATTGCAGCTGCCCTAATGAAACAAAAACTGTTCGTTAGACAAAACATTAGTCTACATTATATATTTTTTATAGAATTTTTCTGTCTTATTTACTATTAAAAAAAAATAAAATTATTTTTTTTCAAGATTTTATTCTTAGTTCACGCAGAGGTACATCACAGAAAAAATATATAATGTAGCTTACTATGTCTAGTATTACTACCAAAAAGTGCTTAAATATAAAATGGGTGCAACACTATCAAAAAAATTAAAACTTCTTATGACCATCTTAGGTAGTAATGACTTCCCATTTGTCACACCATTATCATCTGTTTGTTACTCAAAAATATATTAAGGATGTTCGATACACCTCTTGCGGGGCGGGCGGTGCGGAGAGTATGCCTATGTTTATACACGGGAGTCTTGTTGCAGTACCAACCTTACATAAATTAATTTCAGCGAACTAAGTATGCTATTTAGAATGAAATTTATACAACACATATTAGCTTGCATATTTTTTTCGTGTTTAATGCACGTGAGTTTACTTTTTATTTTTATAAAAGCGTCTATTTATTCATTACGGGCTTGTAAAATTATAGATGAAATCTGGTAACATTGCACATCAGTATAGCGTGGTGGTAAATGTCAACTGTCAATTGTGCTTAGCGCTTGTACAGATTATTAAAAGTAAACAATAAACATGAATGAGCGTCCAAGACAAAAAGGAAAAGTAATGACCGAAAAGCAGTATAAAAGGCATACGAAAGAAATATAATGTGGATTGAAGAGAAAGAAGCAAACCGAGAATCCATGTAATCAAGCTCAGTGTATGGTAGAGGGACGTCGTCTCGTCAAATTAAAGGTTTTGGCAGAAAATCTATACTGCATTTTACAAAGAAATCCTTTCTCTTGATGATGCACAGAGAAAGAAGTAAGGAAAGGGCTAGCCTCAATTTTTACTGTTCGATGCAGAAAATGTCTTGCGACAACTCCTGTTCCTACAAGCAAAATGCATAAAGGATCCAATGGACAGCTTATATATGATACAAATTCAAAAGCTGCTTTTGGTAAGATGATTTTTATTTTATGTTACAACCTATGCAAATATTTCAATTAAATTAATATTTATAGCTGCAATACACTGTGATACGGACATACATCCCTCACCAAATTTTCTAGTTTGATGAATCAACCATGCATGACTTCAAAAACTTTTAAATCTCATGAAAGAGAAATTGGATCCGTCATCGAGACCGTAGCCAGGGAAAGTTGCATAGAAGCTTGCAAAGAAGAAAGACGTTTAACAATGAGTCAATTAGACATATTAGAAAAGTATTTGTAAGTTTATTTGGATTCATAAGAATTTTAAATCATATATGAATGAATTGAAATATCTTCATTTTTACATGATAAAATTCTTTAATTTTTGTATGATTAATTTATGTAGTCATTGACTTTTTAAATATTTATATTTTATATTTAGGTCTAGATCAAAGGAACTTACCAGGAAGTGAAATTCGATCTTAATTATATGAAGTGGTCCACTCAAGATGATCAAATATGTAGTACGTCTTGTGTTTGTAAGTATGTTAACTTTTTAAGGCTATATCGCTTCTATACCTACCTAACCCCGAATAGTATTGTGGAATTCATCTGTTTAAAGAAAATTGACATAACCAGAATATCAGGAAATTAAAAGAACTATCCTGAAGTGACTTATTAGAGAATTTTGAATAACTCTACTGTGTCGATACTATGTACTTAACGCTAACGTGGCCTCTACCCATCTAACGAGCGTTCAAATAAAAATGTGGGACAGCAAATGATCTTCAAGTATAGCGTTCAGCGCACTATATTCTACGTCTCCAGATGAATAGCGGATGCCGTGGATATTTCGTTCCGTATATAACGAGCGTTCAAATAAAAACGTGGTCAAGTTGGTTCTGAAAATTTGGACGTAGGGCGTAGCGTATAGCAAATGAACTTAAACGTCATCTGTCAAAGCGCTATATCACCGCTATCAATCTGAATATTTTCGTTTTAAAAAGCGTTTAAAATGGTGTTTTCTCAAGAACAAAAAGTGTCTATCATAGAGTCCTACTTTAGAAATGGACGCAAGATTGATGGAATATGGAAGTGTTCTATTGAGGAATGTTTCATAGAATTTCAAAATCAATTTCCCGGCGTTGTTGAGTACAAAATTTTTCAAAGTGCAGTTCAGCGTTGTGTTATTGTTTTTCGTGAAACGGGCAGTGTAACAAGAAAAGAAGGAAGCGGCCGACCTAAAAAGCGGACTGAAGAATTAAAAGAAAATGTCCAACAAATAATGGAAAATGCGCCAAGAACTTCTGTATGTGTTTTATCACAAATGGTGGGAGTATCAGTCGGTACCTGTCGCACAGTGTTAAAAAAAAAATTTGCGTTTGTTCTCCTTTAATTGTTTGTTATTGTTATCACGATTACTCTTTAAAATAAAGTTATATAGTCATTAACGTTATTGAAACTGACAGCTGCTATACAGCTCGTTGAGAAATGAGGTTAAGTTGGTCGCTATAAGCTACTCCCTACGTCCAATGTGTCAGAGCCAACTTCGACCACGTTTTTATTTGAACGCTCGTTACTTAGCATTTGTGGTCCCACCTCAGTGAATGTTTTTTTAATGGTTAGGAAGAACCTGAAACAGTTCCATGGACTAAATTTAGTTGTTTTGCTTCTGTAAAATTGCAATGGGCTCGCTATACATATTAGGTACTTATTTGCACCCTACGTGCCGAAGCAAGGGCTAAAAAAGTTTGTTAGATAAGAGACTAATGTCAATTTTCTGGTTGTCAAGCCCTTCTAAATATTTTTACGCAATACTAGAGTTTCAAGTATAATCATATTTCAGTGCAGAGATGACAATAATTACTTCAACTAAAAGCCATCCGCAGTGCTTATTTAGTGAAGTCTTGTATGATAAGAGCCCTTATACCAGGGAGAGATGTTTCCACAATTGACGACTGCCTATTCAGGGAAAACAATAAATTACATTGAGGGGGGAAAGAATGAGCTCTTGTGTTAGTAAAAAGGTAAATAAAGGAAACGAGAGCTGGTGTTCATAATGGTACACCTATAATACCTTTAACTTTGTCACTGACAATAGTTTGTAAAACGCACAAGATAAAAATAAAAGAAGGAAAAGCTTAAAAATTTAGTCAAGCCACGATAGATACCATAAATGCATCCAATGCAATAGCATCTAGGTCATGTGTCTAAGAAAAGTATTATTTTTAGTATTATTTCTTGAGGCAAATCTATAATTTTACAAATATTATCTTTCCAGACATAGTTTAGTTTAATGTTAATTTTATCACTTTTTTCTGATGTGGCTGTAGGTATATACAGTATGTCCACGGTTAAAGTGGAAAAGGGGGAAAATATTTTTATTTTTCATTTTACGAAAAAAAGGCATGCTTCATGAAAATGTTTGCTTGTCTTTAAAATGCAATTGGCATGGAGAACTTTCATCTTAAAATATCTATAAAATGTCTTTACAGATAAGCAAAAATTTTAATCAAGAATGCCTTGTCGTAAAATTAATAAAAAAATTTTACTGTCCATTTCTAGCAAAGTAGGCTGATTCATACACAAATTGAAATTATAATATAAATTTCAATTCTAAACAACTTTTCTTAATAACATATTTCTGTACTGTTAAAAACAAAGGCAGTTTATTCTTGAAAGATTTTTATATTTACCGATTTTCTGATCACCCTGTACATCCCAGGTGAAAGTTCCCCATGCCAACCGCATTTTAAAGACAAGCAAAGATTTTAATCAAGAATGCCTTTTTCTTGTAAAATGAAAAACA